TAATATAAATTTGAAAAGAAAACTGAAATAGCAATCTATTCTATGCTTTTATAATGTGTAGTTTATAACTGTATAATCTGCATATTCCTATAAGTGTCCTGTCCCTTTGGAATCCAGTTAAGTTTTTGGCCTGTATGATTGCCCATGTCACTAAGTTCCATAGCTTAATGACATTTTGTGTAAAAAAGTCATTCCTTTTCCTCTTTTTAAAATTTTTTGTCATATATTGGTAGCTGTCCCTGGATTTCTTTTTATTTTTTTTCCAGAGAACAGAAAGTCCAAGCCTATCTGATTTACTAGGTTCTATATAGCATACATTTTGCCCAGTCTTCTTATTTATAAGGCAAATAACCCACTCTGTCTAACAACTTTCAGTATGACAGTTTACAGATGCTCTGCAACATTTCCAGTAAGCCTTCTCCTCTGTTTAGAGCTCCAGCATCTAAAGCTGCACAGAGGATCTCACAAGGGGCTGATGCACTCGTTAACGTAAGGATGACGCGACATTTTCAGCTTCATTCTCCTTCCCGCATGCTCCCTAGCATCTTCGTAGCGTTTCACAAGCCTTCACTTTGCAGGTGATGAAGGCCATGTCTACACTGGTGGTCTTTTTCAGGAACTGAAGTAGAGCACTGACCCGAGGTGGTGGCAGCCACGTCTCTTGAATGGTGACTGTAGCAAGTGTCAGGCTGATTCAGATTTAACCGTTAACGTTGAATATTTGAGCTAGCTGCTTCTTAAATGGCGTGTATAGACACACCTAGAGGTGCTCAAGCCCTTTTTCGAAACATATACAAACACTTAGATCTACATGTAAGGATTTTTTTTCTTTGCAAATTATGCAGCTGCAAGTTTCACTGCCCATTTTGGTGTGTATTCATCTATCTCTTTTCTCTTTCTCTCAAAATTCCTTTTTGTCCCAACTGCTATAAATAAATTGAGCATTTGCAGGCTACTCTATCTCACTTCCACTTTTCTGTGGGAGAGAAGCAAGTCGACGTTGGCCTGTCTCCCACACTTTTCCAGAGAAGATGTAAATACACAGTGAAACAAGATCACTGGGGACCCTTGCCTGGTCTTCTCCCATGATTACACCAGCTATGTCACTGAGTGGACATCAACCTTCCCTGAACCAGGTGCAGACTTCACAGGAACAAAAGACTAATGCATTCGCTAGAAAACTGTCCGTGGAATATGAACCAGAAGTTTATGACCTGCTGGGATCTTTGCTGTCCTTCAGTAGATTTTAGAAGGCCAAGCTAGACGGCTGGGTGCTTTAAATTAATAGGAATGACAGTGAATGATGAAGGACTCCGCTGGGCACTGACTGTCTCTGTTAGCCATTCTGAGCGCAATAATCTTAATTCTGAGATGTTCAGGTGTTGTAGTGAAAGTAAAACTGTGTGTCTGGGCCGTGGGTGTGTGTCATTCTCCTGAAACATGCTTTCATCTTTTGCTCTTTTCCAATTTGTGAATGGCCTGGTTCTTCGTACAGCTACCAAAGCCGTTAGCAAGAGTGCCTCACCAAGCTGTCCTGCTAGGTTTGACAGCCTCCGTGAGGCTCCGAGAGACAACACTTCCTACAGGCTCTAGCAACACCTGTTGAAGTTCCATGCTGTCAGATTCAACATTGCCTTGCCAGACTGAATTTATCTTTGAAAACAGACAAACTGGTAGCTGCAGGACCAGGAACCTGACCTGATACTACATTGTATGAAGGGAGCTGGTGTCATTTCAGCAAACCCTGTGGTTTTTTTTGATGTGAATGTGCTCCGTGTCTACGTTCGCAGCTCACAGAGGAAAAAGTCTGCCCTTGCAGAGTCTGCGTAGAAGCAGGAACAGAGGGAAAGTGATGCCTCAGAATGATCGCTCTCATCTTGCTGAACTATCATCAGGGTTGATCTAATTAAACTGCATGCATGGAAATGAAGGAGCTAATCTAAACCTTACCATGCCAGGCAAAGTGTGCAGTTTAGGCAATTGCCAATGTCTGTATTAAAAACAATAGTCCCCGTCCCGATGCTGTTGAAGACACCTGGCGCAGTGCCACTGACTTCACGGGGGTCAGAACTGAGCTCAGTGTTCTATTTTAGACAGAGCACAGTTCAAGGAAAGGATACTCGTGTCTGTCAATAAGTTAAAACTGAATCCAGTTGCCACAGCATCAGATAATTTCTTAAGGAAAATTTGTGAGACTTTTCAATATCAATACTGGGTTTCAGCAGTATATTTGCTGAATTACTCTTTTGATAAAACCCCTTTATAAGCAAGTCTGCTCTCTGTCTGGTGCTGATCTTACTTAAAATACAGTGAGATTGGCAACTAATTCATTCATGGACAGAATAAGTATAAAAGTTACATAAAACAGTTAATAATGGTAAGGCCAAAAACTTACTTTTAGTTTCTTGAAAAAAAAAACCCAACTATGAACCTTTCCTCTTAGGACAGAAACTCTTTGTAAGATGAAGAAATATCTCACACACTTCTGGTGCTGAAATATCAAGTAGTGATTGGTTTTTGCAGATTCCATTCCCGTTAATTCTTGCTCCAAATATAGTACTAGTCTTGAAACTGGTTACACTTCATGTTCAAGGCAAAATTTTTGCACTTTAAAGATTCAGTTTTATCTTTAAGGCTGTATTCTTGCATCAGTAACTTTAAGTGCTTTCCAGTGATGAACTAAGCGAGGAACTAACATCCTTCTTTGTTGTTTTCAGTGCCAGATAACATTTATATCTAATGGTGGGCCTCCACTTGTCATGAAGATGCAGTTACAGGGGCTGTAGTGTGCTGATGTTAGCCAAGTTGATGAACGCTATCCAGGAATTATAGTGATTATATATAGTTTAGGATTTAGTTTACCTTCTAAGTCCCAGCTCCTCTTTTTGAATCACTAAAAGAAAATCATACCATTTTAATTTTTTTTTTCTAGAATCCATACTAAAAATCTTGTTTAAAATCAGTATGGGAAATCCACTAGCAGATAAGGATGAAACTTCCCAGGCGTAGGATTAAAATGGAATGAGTTTAGAAAAGTACTTGCATGGCTTTTTGGTTTAACAGTGATAAAAAACATTTTTTCAGGTAAGGATGTAACTATTCAAACTAAAAGGCTGTATCGACACACACCAACAGTCTTAGAAATCAGAGCTTCACTGACCTTCTCACTGAATGATCAGGAAGGGGAAGGGCCTTGGTCTTGATGACTCAGGCTATCAGAGATGAATGAAACCTCCTGAAGGCTTGAAGTAGTGAGAAAAAACTGTGGGTTTCTCTATTTGACAGCCAGTTCACCAAAGTCCTTTATGACCCACATCAGAGTTCACCACGTACTGTATTCCCCACCCATTAATTTCTGTTTTCCTTTCTCCATAAACTCCAACCGTATGATTTTTCATGTGAGATGAAAGGAGGACAGCACACCTCATTAGCATGAGAGATTCAGGTCTATAATCAACATTAGACACTCAGGTTCTCATCCCTCATGAGAATGCTGCCAACTTGGGGGTTGAACTGTCCCCTTAAAATTCCAAGGGGATATCCACTAAAGGATTGGATTTCTACTGTTGCACTTTTTTTTTTCCCCCACAAGCAATACCACCCAGTGCCTAATATTTATCGAAGAATAGTGTAGGGCTACCTTCACTTGGTCTGCTGAATGCTGCATCCAAGAATGTGGCAAAACACACAAATCCTCCCTTGGGAATTTCTCTTTTGTGATCTGCTGTATGTTTGATAGCGTTCACTGTGTCTTGTGAAGTCACATGAAGTGAGACCGCCCTTTGCATTGTTTTAGTCAGGAACATGCTTAGGCTGGTTCAGAAAAAAAATTGTACAGTTACCATCCAGGATATGTGGTCTGTCAGCCTACGGTGCCCTTGTGGCCCATCAGCCACATACAAGCAGCTATCAAAAAGAGGTTTCAAGACCAGCCTGCTCGATCTTGTAGGAACTGAGAGTTATTGTCTGCTAGAGGTGGTAAAAGAGGCTGTCTCCCATCTCAGAAAACCTTTCCCAGAGAACTCTGAATAGAAACAGACATGTTTTCATGAAAAATGTCTCTTCTGAGGACCTAACATCCTCCAAAGAAGATGGTTCACCACTGAGAAAGTTCCATGTTTTATCTCATATACCAGCTGACTGCACATAAGCACAATTGTAGCCTGTACCAATATTTCCTGTCGAGTACAAAGACCACTAATCAGTCTTTATTGTGTAAGCCTGAACAATGCAGGCCATGCTAACAACTACACCCTTGAAGAGGAGCTAAAATATTGATAAGAGGAGAACATCCTGCCCCAGAAGGTGCCAAAGGCTGGATGACTGCCTGAGAAGCACAAAGTCAGCAAAAATCGGTGGTATCTAGGGGAAAGGTAGAGGCAGCAGGGGGAGATCATGACCACCAACTCAATTCAAGACCAAGAAGACCTGCCCCCACAATTGTTAGGAGCACGTGTGCTAATTTACATAGCAAGTGAGGCTAATTTAAATATAGCTAACCAATGAGGGACAAAGTGATAAGAAACTAACAATGGTCATTGCAGTAAATGTGTTTTTTGTGCAGTTTGAAGTGGATAAAAATACCTTGAAGTTCTTTTGTGTGTTGTGCTATCTTTGTGGAGTTACCCCCTAGCACACATCTTGGCACAAATACGGAATAAACCGATATCTCGGCTCTGTGTGTAAGCTTGGCTTTTTGCACACCGGGTAACAAACCCTGTCTGAGGGACAACACAATGGACTGGATATGAGGAAGCATTTCTGTGCAGAAGGGGCTGTTGGGCGTTGGAATGGGCTGCCCAGGGCAGGGGGGGAGTCCCCGGGATCCCTGGAGGGGTTGAAGAGTCGGGCTGAGCCAGCGCTGAGGGGTCTGGGGGAGTTGGGAACTGTCAATGTTAGGTCAGTGGTTGGACTGGAGGAGCTTCAAGGTCTTTTCCAACCGAGATGATTCTGTGATTATGCGACTGTGCCCATGCATCTTCCTTTCCTTGTGTTTGGAGGAGACGAGCAGGAGGAAGTGCATGGACACAATGCCACCCTCATGTGCATGGAGAGCTCCTCTTTACAAGTGGTTTCCTGGCTGTTCTGAGCAATTGCTTTCTGGCCTTTTGTGCCTCTCAGATGATAAGACAAAGCTGAAAAGTAAGATATTGTGAGTCCCACTTAATTCATACAGTCAGCTTAGGACAGCTGCACACAAATACAGGTTCAGGACAAGAGGCTGCAGCTGAGGTCAAACATTACTCTAAAGGACTGCCGATATGAGTTTGACAAGTGAAAACTCGTTTAAGTCAGTAGTACCAAGGAGCCTGTCTATTGAACAGAAAGCTCACAGCTGTTCACAGCAGGACACTGCTGCTTTAACAAGATTTTCTCTGGCTGCTCCAATTCCCTTTAGCTCTTTTTTTAAATTTATTTTTTTTATTAATCATCTTTCAAACTGCAGCAGCATTTGTTGTCCTGAGGTGCTGACTCTAGTGGAAGAGATACTAGTGGAAGCTTCTACTGCAGTTTGCACAGGCTTCATTTCAGGTCACTAATCACATCCTCCTCAGGCTCTCCTCAGGCTCTTGCATTGATTGTCCTTCAGCTGGAGAAATTGTCTGAGAGAAATGACATGACTGGTGTGTTGAGGTCACATTTCTAGATTGAGGGTGAGCTGAGGGAAGCTGTTGCCCTTTGGATTCAGGGAAGACCTGACTTTTGAATGTGGCATGGATGTGCAAGCCTTCAGTCTTCCTTCCCTATCATGCCCATCTGCTGCCCTGCAGTCAGATAATTATGTTGGGAATGGACAAGAAGAGAGAACAGAGGAAGTGACGGGTGACTTAAGCTGGCATCTGGATGCTGAGCAGCAAAGTGTCTCTGCTGGATTAGGCTACTTCACCAAAAAAAAAAAAAGACTCACTGACTATTCCCTTAGTCACCATCAGAAATCCACATGCAGGACTTGAGGTGACAGGATAGGAAGTCTGACCCAGGGCAAACTTGGAGAACAAAACAGTCACAGAAATACAGCATGCTTTATGATTTCTGGTGTTAGCTGTATAACCAGATTTGACGAAAGCAGGAGGCCGGGCGATCTAAAAGCATGAGATGAAGGGCTAGTTGAGATGTTTGGGTACATTTTTCTGTGAAAGCTGGAATAACACAATGGAGCAAATATGATCCTTTTGCTAACCTTATTCCAGAACCAAGATGACTCCTACCTGCCAGTGCAGCGTAAAAAAGGCAGATTACTTTGGCTAGATACACACTAAGGTCTCGGAGAGTTCATTGCTCCAGTACCTACACGAGGGGATTCTTGCTACTGAGTGGAATTCTCATCCCTGAGTTAGGATTTTATTCCCCTTTCCCCACATAAATGCCTTTTTTTTGGGGAAGATGCACATATTCTGTGGACATGGCTTCTTTGACTCCTTCCAGTGAAGTTCATTTTTCAAAGTGACAGGGCAAAAAAAGGAGAAAATATGACCTTCTAGCCTGAGACTTACCAGTTGTTTTCTGGTAAGAATATTTTTTTAAAGAGACTATGGTGTCCAACTGCTGATTCAAATGGTATTGAAGTACTTCCTCTAGCCTAGGGAATATTTGTTTGTTTATATGAACAAGCATGAACCCTCTGCGATCTTGGCTTCTGATTGGTTAGAAAATGCCCTCAGGAAGGTGGGGATGAAAGTTCAGATGCAGGCAGATGAAGGAGGGAATTGGGATTCTTGAGCAAGGTCTCTTAGCACTCAACTAAGGGGTAAGGAAAATAATTATACTTGCTCTGCTCACCCTGATTTCTGGGATGTGGTCGAATTTAGGTTCCTAACTAGTGAACACCGTGTTACTTCTGGATTTAAACAGAGGCCAGAGCCTAGGCACTTGGGAAACTGAGTCCACTCTAAGTTTGAGTGCAGGATTATACAGCAGCAGACTGAACTGGGTTTTTGATGTTCCACATGTTGGATCGCAGTAGCTATGCATGGAATTAGTTAGGACATAAGATCTAATTCCCCTCGTGACCTGGCCTTCCCATCCCACAGCGAGTCACTGTGGTTTAGATCCTTGATGATCTGTCTAGTGTGGCATCGAAGACCACATCCCTGAGGTGATAATGAAGAAATGTGTAAGGAACAGTTCTTTTACTGATGTTGAATTTCATTAAACCTGTCCCATAAGAGGCCTTTATCACCTCACAGGACGAGTCCTGTAATTTTTCTGAAGGCTTGTGCAGTGTCAGCTTTCCATGTGACTATCTGTAACTTGGAACACGTTCGCCATCTTCTATCCAGCAACATCACCAAGGCTCTAAAAAGGGGAAGAACTGCAACCCTCGCAAATACTGCAGACAGTTGGCTGAAGAGGTAAAGAGGCTACAATAGTCAGAGCAGTTATGTGATAAATCAGTAAGTGATGTTGTCTCTTTGTTTTTAAGAGCGACCTGGAGCTCATGCAGTAGCACTATTCTCCAGATGGCTTTCCACAGCATCGTCTTCCGTAACACACCAGCGAGCCACGAGACTGAGACAGAAATTCCAATGTGGGGAGGGTGTGAGTCATGAGATGGTGAGTGAAAGAAACAGCAGGATAAAAATAACAGAGCACAGTATGATGCAGAATATTAATCTCTTGCCCTGTGTTATCCTAGCTTGTATTACATATACTATTATGTTGTACTGTAGATGCTCTACTTCTCAAAACAGATCTCTCTATGCTACTCTGAAAGATTATGGCTCAGGGTGCCAGATTGCAAGGACTTCTAATACTTGTGCCTTTAAGTTGGATGAAAATTCTTAATCAAGAAGTTCCTGCAATAGAAAATATATAATCAAAGAGTATCAGAATGCTGCTTCTGTGAGTTTCATATTTTTTATATTTTATGTGAAAACATCAAGTTCATTTAATTTAATAAATTTATTTATTGAAAAATTAAAATTATATGTCTCTTAAAATCTCTTTTTTCCAACCTTCTTTTTTCAATTCTTCTTCCTTCAATAGGAGAAAAGAAAGAAAAAAAGTATAAAAATATAATGGAAAACTGACATAAAATTCAACTTTGATTCGAGATAACATGAATCTGTAGGAAAAAAGTAGAAAAAGTATAAGCAGTAAAATCAGAGGAAAAGCCAGGTGTTTTATTTTGAAATGTGAACCCCTATTTTTCTACTCAAATCTGCCATTCTGTCCTGGCTAAACTTCATTCTGAGATCACTCGCAACCAAATTCGGAGCCCTTCTAGGGAGCTCTTATTTTCAGCTCAGCTAGTTTGAAGTATTTGAATAAAGTGTCTCACCCAGTCACCTTGACATCTCCTATAATCACTGGAGCAAGACAGTGATCTTCAGAGAGCTATTTGGAGCTTAGGAAGCCTATTATGATGTTATTTTTCAATACAGTCAGGAATCTGGGCATCATAAAGAGAGCAGGAGCTTTTTCCTTTAACTTCAAAGCGTGCCAGCTCTGGCAGATTAACACATAGACAGTTCTTTTGATAGAAACTGTGTCTGTTATTTGGGAGTGGGGAGAAATGTTTATTGTATTTCGCACAGATTCAGTTCAGAATATTTCAAAGAGATTTCACTTTGCTTTTTTTTTTTTTTTTTTCATGTAAGTCACCTTCAGGCTTTGTCAGGACTGTGGAAAACTTTGCCAGAACTGGGGAACATACAAACAAATGATGGCAACCTTCTCTGCCAAGCAGTGAGGTGGCTGTGTGGTCCCAATGTTACAGCGTTTGGAATGTGAATGTCTTTGTAGGACTCTCCCTCCTCTTTGGCCTTTCAGGGCTGCCTGGTGAAGAGAAGCATTTGTGCACACACCGAAAAAAGACACTGTTTAATCACGATCACCTGATTTAAGGCAGGCGTGTGTGTAAAGCAGTATGGTTTAGGTATGCAGTTATGGTCAGAATACCAATGTATAGACCATATACATGGTCTATACAGTCAGAAACCAATTTCTTTGATCACACTAAGTTGAAACAAGTAGAAAAATCCCTTTTTTCGTAATCTTTTTTTTTTCTATTTTGTCTTACAGAGGCTGCCTGGCAAGCTACTTGGGAATATGTTTTCTGGTTTTAAATACTGTTCTTAAGCAATCTTCTGTTATTTTTTACATTTATATTTCCATCTATTTAACTTATTCTTGTATATCAAGTATTTTTATTTTCCAATACGTAAAGAAAAAAAAACATTTACTTTTGAAGTTTTACAAAAATAGAAGTCATTGTAATCATGTTTTGATATCCTTGGAACACGTTTTATTTACTATTCAATAGCCACTGTTTTTATTAGGACATTGTTTGAACGTAACTTTAAGCCCAGTAAAGTTCCAGGGCCAATCTCCTGGGAGAGGATATTTATGGTCCATATTTTCAGAGAGGGATACTGGAAGTAGAAAAAGGCTTAAGTATTTAGGCCTTGGTTCAACTCTGAAGTCAGGGGAGATCTGTCTGTTGCAAATTGTCATTTGCCCAGTTGAAGTAGCCAGTTCAAGGTGCAAATGCTGAGCTTGAAGGGGTGGTTGCATTCAGCGTACTCATTGCAAGCAGAAATGTAGGCCCCAGATTTTGTCTGTTACTGCAGGGGAACTGACCTATTTTTCCGGAGAGAAAAAAAAAACAACCTACCATAACAATCTAATTTGCAAGAACTGTAAGAGTGGAAACGATACTGTTTTTCTTTAGGATATTAGGTTATGCAAACCAATTGACGAAGAAGACATTTCCAACAGGAAAACCATTGATGGTACTTGGTGTCACTCAATGTTAACACCCTTGAAAGGAAAGTGAAATTCTGGTGCATCTTTCACGTGGTTCTAAGCCACAGTTCTATATCCGGTGTGGAGCCTAATGATTTTCTCTTGCTATTTGCTATAGCTTTTTGCATTACAGAAGTCTGATTGCTTTCCTCCTGCAGATACTAACCATTAGGAAGACACTGCTGCAGAGACTGAAACCAAACCCATTTATTCCTTGTTCTCAAGTCGTCTTGGGTTGGAAGCTGCCAAAAAATTCTCTCCTGGATAAATAACTGTGATGTCCCCATCAAGCATATGTTGTCAGTGAGTTGGATTTCTTCATTCAAATTGTTGAAAATCTGTTCTGCTTGGAAGTTTCTCTCGCAGAGGAATTATTCAGCACCACAAAAGGAGTGTGCAGGGATCCCATCAAAGTTTAAATGCTTTGAACTCACTCCTAGGCACAAGAAGACTTTACTACTTGAGATTTTGTTTGGACATAAATGAGTTTTTGTCATAGATTGGGCATCTTCTAACATGGTCCCTCCATAACAAAATTTCTCATCATTCTGGAAGAAGATTTGAGTATTTGTTCTTTTGTTTGCATTCATCTTTATTTATTTTGTATTCTTGAGATGTGTTGCATCTCTGGAGTTTGTATTTCTACTTTTAGCGTAAAAATGTTGTACATAACAAGTCTAGAATGCATCTGAAGAGTAGTCTAATTTTTCAAGTGACTTTGACTTGAACATTTTTATGTTTATGTTTATATTGCTATTTCAAAAATGTGCATTACCTGTATTATTTATGCCTTTTCCCCATCTATAACTCAATAAAATTATGTCCTCATTCTGCAGAACCATATCATGTGTGCATAAGTGATAAGTTTTTGAATAATAATGACTGATAATTGCAAATGGGTTAATCTATATCTATATCTAACCTACATATATCTGTCACAGCCTGAAATTCTTCTGATGTAGGATTTGAGATGGTGGAAAAATTACTAGTAAGCGGTAAGCTGAGCTCAGGAATAATTCTTCATAAGGCTATTTGGACTTAAGAAGTAGATTTTTTTCTTCCCTAAAGGTGTATGCTCTTCATTTCAGTTCTCAGCATGGCTGAGTTTAGAACTCAGCCATGTGAGTCAGTGGAGTGTTACCCGTTTCATCAGGCTGCACATGTCTTTTATGTCACGACAGCCCTGGGATAAATAAAAGACTGAAGTATGTCCTTTGTTGCAGAATATCACATTTCTAAGGAGTGCTAGTTTAACCTTCCGGAGTTCCCAATCACTGTATGATTAAGAAGGAATATAGCCCAGGAGATCTGCCACTGGCCTGGACCAGCAGTGGCTTGGGTGACGTTGAACGGCCGAGCAGGAGTTTTCTTTGTGAGAGCAGGTATATTAGATGCGTTCCAAACATATGGCTCTCATTGGAAGTTAACAAATACTAATTTGTGTACAGAAAATGTTCACTGACAGAAGAAACTTGAGGCCATTGTACAATAGTAGCTTTTTACTGCTGTAACATTCCTTTGGGTCGCCAAAGTTTAGTGAAGTCAATGGGAAATTTTCTATCAGGTGCAATGGGTTGGCAACATATCCTTACTTCAGGTAAGACTCCATCAAATACAGTTATTCACAAAACATTCAAAGAGGGAAAGACAGTTCTCATCCTTTTCTGTTTAATGCTGTATGCCAAGCCTGTGTTCAGGAGTTTAAATAATAAATTGAAAAGTTCCCCATTTCAATAGAATGAACCAATTCAGTCTGCTACTCTGTAGGATATTTGTCACAACGAGAACAATAGGACCTCCAGTGGGTTGTCTGAGGACTGAGAGATGGCAGTAGTCATGATGACAGGTGACTAGTTGTTTTGCTAATTATCAGACCTAGCATAAAGGACACAGCCAGCAGAAAGATGAACCAATAACCAAACTGTATTTGACACAAAAGGGTCAGTACATGGGTGAGCACTGGGGGTACAAACAAGTCAATCAGGTTATACATAATCGACATCAATCCCACTGACCCCAACAACAACACCACACGACCAACAATGGGTGGAATAAATGGTGACATGCAGTCTCCCATAGAAGGGACGGGAGACAACCCAGTCAACAAGCCAAACACATCAGACCAAGGAAGCCACACACTCAATCTCTACACAGCCCAGTTTACAAAAGCCAGACCTGACTGGAGCCCAGTCCCAGGGAGGCAGGAGGTCCTTCCCCAACAGGGAACTCTGCACAGGGCACCCACCTCACACACAGACACTGCCCCTGCCTGCAAGGGGTCCCAGCTTTTATCCCTGCGTGGGACCCCTGACCTTGGGTTACTCACTGCAGACACCTGGGGCTCATTTACCCAATGGCTCTGTCTGCCAGGCCGGCCCCACCCTGGGGGGAAGCCTAAAGGGAAACTCACCCCCCTTTGGGAAGGGCTGTGGGAATCACCCACATGTCAGCCTTAACTTGGGGCTTGGGGTTGAAACCCCAGCTTTTCAATAGTCTGACTATAGACTCACATGCACCAAGACAATCTTTCTCACTACACTGTTGACTGTAGTCATGTTTTCTCTTGCACCCAGAAATGACAGCTTCTGATTCCTGTTACATCTTGGAGTCATGGTGTGTACATCTAGACATCTCCAAGCAGTAACAAGATATATTCATGTAAACAAACCTTTTTTGACTGGATTATAATTAGGGTTACTAGTTACAGGATATCTTCCATTTAGGTGAACTACTGCTTCAGCTTTGCCAAAATTGCATTCATTAATTTCTTTCTAACTTCTCTTTGTCATTATTAGAGGATGGAAAACAAGTTTTGATCTCTTGGAGAAACTTGTTTGCATTCACAAAATGCTTTTATTAAGCATGGCCAATGGCCTTTCTCTTTATTACCTTTTTTGCTTCATTCTTCTAATAAACTCTGCTAGGAGAGTCACGGTTTACAGTGTCCACTGTTCTCTATTGTCACAATCCAAAGATAACACTTCCCTTTATATTTTAGTTGTTAGTGTAATTTTTACAGAATTCTGAAAAATGCATGGAATTGCAACATATGCACAGTAAAAAAACCCGAGGACTTTGTGTCTACTTCTTGTTATGGTAAAGTACAGCCTGGATAGAAACCTTGAAAAAGAAACAGTTATCACAGGGTGCAGTCCTCGTGTCAGGAAGACACTTAAAATTGATTGACTGGGGCCAGGTTGATATGTTCTGATTCTAACTTTCCTCCTTAAGTATCTGCCATAGGATGAGCAGGTTTTTGTTTTTGCTCTAGTACAGAATTTCTTGTTCAAAGAAGAAACAGGTGAGGTGGATCAAGCAAAGAATAATGACAACAATTTGAAGAATTAAGATTTAGCTATGTGGGTTGCTCTAGTAAAACCTGTACATCTAGATGGATCAGTATTTCCATAGTAGACTTGAAAGCCTGGGGTACACATGGGTAGTTGAAATGGGTTTACTCATTCTTTGAGAATTAGGAGGTTCTGAGGATGATTTCCACTTTGAGCCGGGAGAAATAGCTAAAACAGCAAATAGTTCATGGTTTAAAAAGCTTATATTTCAGACTAGGCTAATCAAATCGCTTTGATTCTATTGATCAGCTTTAAATTTACAATAAAAATTTAGTTTGGATGAAAATATCTTCAACCTGAAAAAGGGAGTTGGATTAGAAATTGATTCTGGCCCTAACCAGCTTCTAGTTCTGTGCTTGGGCTTTGTGCCTCTAATTTCAGAAAAAAAAAAAAGCAAAAAAAGAAAAAAAAAAAAGCCAAGGTAGGAAGGAAACACAACAGAAAAGTCTCCTAATAATAAGACAGAGGGGAACGTGGTGCAAAGACCTGACTAGGATAGGATGTTTAATCACAGGATTCAGATCCATAGACTTGCAAGTGTGTTTGCATCAAAGAAACCTTGCAGAGCATGTGCCTGCAGTACGCCCAGCTGAATCGGCTGCCAACACTCTACCGAACACTAAGTTCATTCATTATTATTGCTGGGTTTTTAGGAGGCAAGATGAGCAAAATCAACATCAATCTCCCAACAGATGGGACTAGAGCAGGGCAGCTGCAGGCATACGGTGCACTACATAAGGCATGCAAGCGCACGTGGAATCCTCTGCCCCCAGAGCTCTGGCATTTCCGTTACACAGGCAGGAGGAAAATGCAATTATCTGAATTAACTGTCACTCCGCAAATCGCTTTACACTGTGCTGCTCAGTCAGAAAAATAGGCAGGACTCAGGGAACACTTGGTGCAGAGGTGCAGCTTGTCACGTGGCAGCGAGGGCAGCGGGGAAAGAGCGTATTACTGCCTACGTGAGATGAGGAAGGGCATTCCTGTGAGAGCCTCCTGCCTTTATTTTTTTTGTTGTTGTTGTTCTTGGGGTCTCATTTTATTTTTTTACCTTTGAGGCTGAAAAGCTGGTAAATAAGATTACAGCACAGGCATGCAGAAAATAAAATACAGCGGAAACGTGTGTAAAAAAAGATTACTAGGGCAAAACAGTGCCTCTCAGCACGTTAACTGCACTGTGGGGTATGTACAGCTGGGGCAGGCCTTGAGGCGTTTTCTGGGTACAGCAGATGTGAGTGGAAAATACTAATGCAGTGCTTTTGAGAGAGCTGCTCTCATCCCTGCTCTTATCCCTGCTCATTGAGTGCAGGCAAACTGAGGGTGGGAAAGAAGCATAAGGAGTTTGATTTATTTGGGGTTTTAAAAAATTTTTCTTTCTCCCCCAACCCCAACCCCCTTGAAATCATGTGGGATTTCCACAACTTTAAAAACTTCTCTCAGCTGTCATTTTGCCGTCTCTCATGCATGTACCCACATATACTTTCTAGCTCTGAGGGCACAAAGATAAGATATTAGGAGTCACCTTAGGATGAGAAATCCAAGAATGACCAAAACGTTTTGTTGATGATAAGAAGGGGATACTTTTGGGTGGGTTGTTTGTTGTCGATTTAAAATGCTTGGGGTTGCTGATATAGCCCCTGTCTATTCCTTAGTATGGTCTGAAGTGCCGTGAACTCTTATCTTCAAGAGCTCCACACGAGGAAGGGGTCACAGGAGAATAAAATTAGCTTGCGTTTAAAAAAAAAAAAAACACCACATCACGACAAACCCTCCACTTTTCTGCTTGCTGGCAGAATCTCTGCTGCCTCCCACATAGCCCCAGCTGGAGAGCCTTTACTTGCAGTGAAAGCTGCTCTGCCTGTGCCAGTCTCTTTCCCTTCTCTGCTCCTTCTTCCCTCCCTGACAGGTAGCAGCAGCAGCAGCTGCAGCAGCCCTCTTTTCTGATGCCAGAGGGGTGTTCCACTTATGTAATTTGTGGAAAACAAAGGAGGAAAACATTTATTTGGTGCTAGATGGGGTCAGGGTGATCATCCGAGCTGCAGAGATTAAGAGGTCCAGTTTTGCAGTGAGCATCCTGCTTCACATCAAGGTTGGAGTAAAGTCTTTTACTCAGGCCTTGAACCTGTTTCATCCATAAAGTCAAGGCAGAGGAGCTCTGTGCTCAAGTGCTTCTTAGTTTAAAAATGCCTTTCAGGCTATAGTGGAACCTGGTATTTTGAATGAAGCTAAGTTAAAGGGTTATGAGGATAATGGCCATGTGGGAGCTTTTTTGTAGGTGACTGGCAAAATCTGGTCTACTCTGGCAGTGGAAGGATCAGTGATGCTGCAGAGGGATCCTCTAGTGAGAATGACCCCTTATTCCACTGTCAACCAGGGGAAGGAGGGACTAAACATCTTATTGAATCATGCTGAGTCCTGGCTGAGTCAAGGGCCCGTAGTTTCTATCCATAGAGAGTAAAGCTTAAAGTAGATTTTGAGAAGAAAAAGGGGCAGAAGGCAGGAATTAATTTCCCTCTGGCAACCCAGGGGTCTGCCCTATTCCCCACCCATCAGTGAAACGCATACTAGTGTGGAAGTTAGAAACAGATGTGTGCTCCACTAGTTAATGAAGTGTGAGTGATTGCTTCCCTTCTTAGGAAGCACAGCAGAGCTCTTGCTTTTGTGCCACAGGCGAGTCTCTGGTCTGAATGGTGGCTCTGAAGCTCCAGTAAGGGCTGCTAGAGAAGAAGTGTCAAGGAGTGAGGAATGAACTGAGCAGCCTTTGGGAACTGAAGGGGTGGCAGCAGCTTCAGTGCTATTTATATGTAGCTAAGATCCATTTTATAAATGGATCACAGCTATCATTCCTTAGCGGCATAGAGGTTGCAGGCCTCTGGGAAGGATAACCAGTAACTGGAATTAATTTAAGCAAGATCACTCACTGAAAGAAGAAATGCAAAATGCCATTGTGACAAGAGCGTTCTCCTAAAGTGTAAAAAAGATGGAAAGCTGACCAAATTGCCAGGTGTCTTTTTTACTTTCCTGGGAACTCACCAAGTAGTTAGCAACCCTTTTTTTTTTCCACATATTTCTGTGATTGAGCTTTTTGTAGAGCTGGAGCTTATAATGACTTATTAACATGGAATGTCAGGTAACTGTGCAGTAGGAGGGTTATTGTAGCCATTTTGAAAGAGCTTTAAGGTTTTAGAAGTCAACCACAAAGGAGTAACAGAAAAAGACCCATGTAACTTAGGTGGGCAGGAGTGCATCGTGGCTACTGAGTTACAAATAGAAGTTCCCTCCAACTTTAAAATCATCTGCAAGAGTTTGGAGCTGAGATATCCACATAAACAGCTCATGGGAGAGTCACAAACAAGACTGAAGGGCAAAAAAACTTCTCACACAACCACCTGATTATGCTGTTTGCTAGAAATCATTACCCTGATATCCCGTGAGTTTCCTTCAACTATGTCTCTCATATTCCCTTTACAGCGCAGGGTGAAAGTCAAATTGTGTTGTAAGAGCAAACCTTTTCCTATTTGATTAGAGAATTGCCTCCGTTCAGTGGTGCATTATGAGAAAAGTATACTGGAGAAGAAAACTCTCCC